CCCAAAGAGTGGGGGGTTAGGCCATTTTGGCCCAGATTTGGCCTCTTAAAGAGGGGGGGCCTTAACCCCCAAAAATCCCCAAGCCAGCGGGGGGAATTCTGGGAGTTAAAGTCCACTCATCTTAAAGTGGCCAAGTCTGGACAACACTGGCCTAACCCCTCACTTTTGGTGTAGAGCTAACCGCCTGTCTCCAACTGTTGCTGTTTCCACTGGTTTGCCTTTGCAAGTTCAGAGTTTCCTGTCTGCTTAATAAAACCTATTTATCTTGCAGTTACAGGGATCCATTAAGAGGAAGGTAGAAGATGACGGTTTACCAGCATCAAATGCCATGCCTGATGTCATCTTCCCAAGCGAGAGTAAGAGACTTTGTCTTGATGATGTCACTCTTTCCATGGGTCCTGGGACCAATCCTGTTTCATGTCCCAACATGCAAAACTCTCCGTTCTCAGCCAATCATGGAACCTCCTCGATGTCTGGACATGGAATGCTGCTTGAAAATACCCACATGAATGGGAGTGGCGTTGGGTCTCCATTTTCTGTACCGCCTAATGCTGAGGTTGGGCAGAAGGGGCCCCTTGGGGGGCACTATAGCGAAAAAGGCAGCAACATGCATGCTGTGGACCAGGAACTACAAGATTTGTTGGAAGAACTGACCAAGATGCCTGATCCCTCTCCCAATGAGTTGGACCTTGAAAAGATCTTAGGGAGCAAACCTGAAGAGCCCATTGGGAACCTTGCCCACCCACCAGCAGCCATGAACAGCACTCCCAAGTCCTCTCCGCAGGCTACACCCTTGGACAACCATCTACCCAACAAAGACTTTTCTCCTGGATGCAACCCAAGTGCTGGGTCCCCACAGATGAGGCCACCATCAACTGGAGCGACTTACTCAGTTCCATCTCAAAACAAGGCTGTTGCTTCACCCATTTCCTCTGCCACACCCAACAAGGGCCAGGCTCAGGCCATCCACATGTCTGGGACTAATTGGCATGCCCAGCAATTGAAGCATTTAGCCAGCAAGCAAGCCCCAGCTTCCAAGCCCCAAGCCCCAAGTTGGCCAACCATATCTTCTCAAGGTCTTTCTCCTCCTTACAGGCAAGGATCTTCTCCACACCACCAGCCATTCAGTCCCCAAAATGTCATGGTCTCTAGCATGAGTTCTAATGGCTTGCCAGGAAGCAACATTCAGAGTCCACAGAACTCCCTGCTTTCGAGCATCACATCCAACAGTAATCCACCTGGAGGTCTGTCTCCTCCTTTTGGGCCAGAGAAGCTTTCCAGTCCAGTCCTCAACCAGCAGTCTTTCAGCCCTCCAAACTCCATCCTCCCCAACATTTCAGCCAACAGCATTAAGAGTTCTCCAAACCCCTTGGGGCCTCCGAATACTGGACCTTCACCATACAGGCCAGAGAAACTTTCCAGCCCAGCTTTGCACCAACAACCTTTTAGCCCTCAAAGTACCTTGATTCCCAACACCACACCTACCAGCAACCCAACCAACATGCAAAGTTCACTCTACAAGTCAATGTCATCCACACAGTCCAAGAATATGAACGTAATCATGACGCAGTCCTCCAACAGCGTGCAACCAGGGTTGGGGAGTGAAGGGCCCGTTGCCCAAGACCAGTTTTCATTCAGCAATACCAAGCCACTCTCCCATTTCAACTCAGAGCCCACACCTGCCCAGAAGATGTCACCAATGGCTTCAAACTCAGGGCAGCAGTCACTCATGCATTACCTTCAGCAACAAGCCACAACTTCTCCACAATCCCAACAAGTCAACAACAGCCAGTTTCTTCAGCAGCAGCAGCAGCTACGGCAATTGATGCAGCCTTCTCGGATGCAGCGGCATGTCCAGCCATCTCCATTGTCCTCGCAAGTGCGGCAGGTAAGCTACCGAGCTGACTTTTGTTCGTTCATCCATGCCACAGGGTCCTTACCTCCATGTTACTGCCTTCGCCTGTCTCTTTTTACGAGGGGTGCATGAGCTGAAGCCCCAGGGCTGCAGGCAAGCCTTGCAAATCCTTGGAAATGAAGCCATGCCCCTATTTACGTACATCATAAAATTGACTTTTTTGACCCTCCCCCCTGTGGACACCCCTGCCTGGCTCTGACTTCTTCTTTGGGGCCTGGTCCTGCCTCCCTTTTAGAGTACTCCCCCCATGTGCTCTTCACAGGTCAGCGGTAGCCCTCAGCAGCGAAAACTTGAGCATCCCTGATTGACGTGTGTATTTATTTATTTATAAGTAAATGAAATTCATAGGCTGCCCCAATCTGATACGACTCTGGGCAGCTTAAAAAATACAAATATAAAATACTATGAAACACAGAAATCATCCGAAGGTGTCCCTAAGAAACACTCATGTAAGAACTAGAACACCATACGAGAAGACCATCACCTACCAATCAGGGTCTGGAGATAGAGCCAGTTTTATCTTAAGGGCTCGTTTAATAAAGACCAGGGTGGGGGCCATGTGAATCTCAGGGGGAGCAGTGCTCCAGAGAGCAGACACCATGACACAAATACATGTGCACTGATGCAAGAGTTGCTGGAAGAGCAGATATTTGCACCTTCTTGGGGTCAGACTGCAGTAGGCTGAAGAGCTGAACAAAGCAGATCCTGGTTTGGTTGATGCCTTCAAAGTGTTGGTTGAACTTGTTTGTAGCCATTTTGGATTTTAATTCCATGGTTGGTACAGTATGTTGTCTGCCTGTGTCTCTGCGAAAATTCTTGAGCATGAGAATAACATGATTATCTCTCTATTGGCTTGTGCTTACTCACATAGGCACACATAGGTTGCATTGCCTAGAAGGAAGACTCAGTTTCCCTCCACCCCAGATAAGTTACGTTTAAAATGGGACAGCTGCCTTAGGGGGTCGCTGAGCACATGATAAAGAGGTCGATTTCTTTTTTCTGTCTCATCTTCCTTTTGGGAAGGCTGTTAACATTTTTTTTAAAAAGGCTTTGGACAAACTTTTTTTTCAGCCTTGTACAGATAAGAAACAACTTCTTTTTATAGTTATGTTATAAGCTTTGGGGTGGGTTGTGGGGGGGGGGGGAAAACCCCTGGATTTTGTCTTTTTTTTTTTTTTTTTTTTTTT